CTCTTGACACATGGTCATCAAGCACACGACAGCCCAGAGCTCCTATGCACAGGCCACACTGCTTCCTAACTAATCTGCACCAAAGGCCTGTGTCAGACTAGGACTTTTGTAAACCTAGTACCATTTTCTCATTAGTTGATGAGTTCAACTTTTACTATCAATTTGTCAATAACTCGGTTTTATTTGTCTGTGATTGATTATCCTTTAAAAAGAAACATTGATGAATTACAAAGGAAATAAACATTTTTCAAGGTAAATACTACCACCACCTAGAGTAATAGCAGGTAAGGGCTTCTGTTACTAGAAACCAACGCTGCTTTCAGATCCTGCTCTACAGTGTGGTCTATGATATACTGTTGGCTAGTGAAGCCCCTGGTGCACGAGGGCTCATGGCAGCCCGAGGTCTGTGGGGCCTGAGGTCTGGTGGGGCCTTTAGCACTGGCCACTGACACAGAGCCCAGCTGCTTGAGTTGATGGCCTCTGAGCACATCCTTACGGCATCATCCGCCTTCACATCACACTGCATTACCAAAGCTCAATGGAATATCTTAGGGTGACCATTCACTAACTCTCACTGATCTTTCATTAAGAGAAACACTACTGAACTGTGACTGAATGAAACAACTCTTTCATCTAAGTCAAATGACAAACCTATATGCAGGGGTCTTTAGGGTTAAAGCAAAGTCAGAAACTGTTCACTGCTCGCTCTTGCTCTGGGCACTGTGCTGTAGCTACACACATCACAGAGTAATGCTTCCTTAAAAAGGCAAAATCAGCTTGGAGAATTCAGCATGTGTGGGAACCACAGATGCACTGAACCAGAGGCCACTGCACAGACATGCATTGGATACAGGTGGTGACAGGCCAGAGCATGGACACTCAGAACTGGGAGCTCAGCTCTGTAAAAAGGTATTATTTACTATACACACTTGGTCTTCTTGTTCGAGAAGAGAAGGGAAGGGAGGAGAAAAGAGCAGGGGAGAGGAGAGAAGAGACAGGGAAAGAGAAACCACACAATGGTCCAGAAAGGAGGACCACATGGAAACAAGACAAGTACCAGACAGTATGGAGGAGCCCCAGCACTGAGAAAACCACCAAAGTATACTATATAGTCTTAGTATATAGTAAGTATACTATATAGTCTTAGTATATAGTAAGTATACTATATAGTCTTAGTATATAGTAAGTATACTATATACGCTTAGTATATAGGAGACTTGTGGACAAGATCAGAGCACTTAAGCTACAATAATGACCATAGGAATGTATTCTCCAGCTGGCTAGGACAGACACACACATGAGGGTTTGTCCATGATAAACACCAAGGATTATACTTTCCTAGAGATACAACATCCAGGCTTGAATGGCCTGACTACTACCTGTGCCGGGGAACAAAGTTCATTTTGTGCCATGAAGTCTTTATAAACTCGTTAGCACCAACAACTTCTGGCCTGGGTAATGTTCCTAATAAGGATATGACCTTCCATTCTCCCTAAATAGTGATTCTTATGGAGACACAGGTTACAGTAGGACTCCTAGGGGAGCTCATGACACAAATGAAACTGTCACACCACCAACACACACTAGCCACAGGCACTACCACAAACATCCAGAAGGGTGTGACCGGAAAAGCTGTACTCTTGCTCCTGGGGGCAAGAGGCACTTCTTCCCTCTTTCTTTGCTTCCTGGATGCTATGACTTGAGCATAAGGGTCCACTAGACCTTTCCACCACACTGTTTCTGACTTAGAACTAGACCACCATAATCTGAACCAATTGAAACTGTGAGACAAAATAAACCTCTCCTTCTTTAAGCTGTGAGTGTCCGGTATTTTGTCCCAGAGACAGGAAATCTGAGTGTTGCATGATCATTTTCACTGAAAATAAGGTGAGATAACTGGTTGAACACAGTAAAGATTCAGCTTTCAAAAAAATACATACTGTGAAGAAGAAAATGGAATATTGATTTTGCATTTCCCCTCGGGAGGGATCTGAAACTCTGAGGTCCACATATTACCTCCTCATTCATCTGTCTCACTGAAAGGAGCTGATGTTCTCCTGGTCTTGGTTAGATTTTGCTTGCATTCCACCCTCCCAAGGATTTTGACACTGTCCCAGCTGCTGAGAAGAAGTCTGATGCCTTCCATCAGACATATGGGTAATTTTTGGCAACTTCCCCCACCTGACCTCCTGACTGTGTCTCCTTCTCATCTATTCAGATGGTATGTTGGAATCTCCATGTGTCCCTGCGGATTTCATCCTAGGACAAAAGTCAGGGCAGGAGGAAGCCACCAGCAGGGTGCTTGGTGAGGGGGATGGTATCCTCTCATAGGAGTAACCAATGAGGAACTGGAAGCCAAAAACTGACCTGTGGACACTGAGTAAAACAGAACTTTGAACAGGGATGAGTACAGGTCAGAAATAGCCAGGCTGTGAAGTGCTATCTTTAGTGAAGAGGAAAGAAGACCACAGTGGACACGGGGTTCATCATTTCCAGAAATACTTTGAGAACATCAGGCAATTCTTTGTATGGAATGAAGATTTGTTCATGTTCAAGCAATTGTTCTGTCACCTTCAAAAAGCTCAAGTTAAAACATTGCTCCTCCTTAAGCAGCACCCTCAGGAGGAGACCCTGCATGAGGACAGCTGCCCAGTGGCACAATCTCAAAGCTCACTTCCTGCTACTGCTGTTTGTTACACAAACTGAGAATGGAGGATGAGACAGGAGAGGGTAGACCATTCAAATGAAGTGTGTTTGAGAGGAAATAGTGTGGTCTTACAAATCCACTGAAAGACATCACACGTATCACAAGCTTTTGTCCTATTTAAACATTAAGGGAAATAGCACTTTTTTCAGATTTCTACTAATTTTTTTTCCCTAAGCAAAGGTACCCACAACTCATAAAGTAAGATGACCCAATTAAAGCAGAGGGATTGCCATGTGGTGGTGCACACCTGTAATCCCAGGACTTAGGAGGCTGAGGCAGGAGGATTGCTGCAAGTTCAAGACTAGCCTAGACCATGAGTTCAAGGCCAACCTAGAATATACAGCAAGATCCTGTCTCAAAATATAAGTAAATAAATAAATAAAATGGCTGGATTTAAATTTCATCCCCATGTGTCTTAATTAGACAAAATAAAGTTTGGGAAAAGATGACTTGTGGAAGAATATTGGAGGTTTAAAAGATCTTAGGCCAGGAATGTAGCTCAGTGGTGCTGCACCTGCCTGGCAAGCACAAAGTCCTGAGTTCAATTCCTGGTACCAGAAAAAATAATAATTAAAAGATCTTAGAAGGTAAGGATGCTGCCTTTGTCCATCTATTTATATAATAACTCCCACCATAAACAAAGTTTTGATATTTACAGGGAATGCTTTCTCATGAGAAAAACTCTGTGTATGTATATGAATATGTACATGTATACATGTACATATATGTCTATGATAGATAAATAGGAAGTAAGGAGATTTTTTTCAAGTGGATGGGGGAACAAGCAATGGAGGGAGGAGGAGGGATGGGAGGAAAAGGAGATGGAATAAAAAGAATTTAAGGGGAAAAACTGATGATGGAAGTGGGGCTTTTGAAAATGTGAATGAGATGAATAGTTGGAGGTAATGGGGGAACAGGAAGGGAGGGGAGGGGGAGAGGATGGAAAAGAAAGAAGAATTAAGATAAATCAACTCCCCACAATGAGTGTCATCATTATACAAACATGCACCAATAAATTTTAAAAAGGTAACAAGTACAAATAATAATTATAGAGAGTATAATTATAGGGAGTGCATCAGCTCCACTGTGCACTCCTCCAGCCTGGCGGGAAGAGACAAACCCATCTGCATTCCCTGTGTGCCCACTGTCCACTCAGCATGGGCACACATCCAAAATTTAGAAATTATTACAATACTTTAAAAGTTCACTGATTTCAACAGCAAGATACTCCATGGAGAAAAGTTTCAGAGTCTATAATAACTAGAATAAATCAAATACTATGCTTGAAAGAAAAAGCAACAACATGGCCCGGGGATTTAGCTCAGTGGTTCCGGCGCCTGCCTTGCAAGCGCAAGGTCCCAAGTTCGATCCCTGGCACAAAAAAGAAAAAAAAAAAAAAAAGAAAAAGCAACAACAAAAAACCCCAAAAATAATCTGGAAAAAAACATTGTAAATATAAAAACAAAAAAATTTTAAGTGAAATTAGTAACCAAAACATTGAATCCAAAAGATAAAGAGTTAAAGGCTGTAAAAAAGTGGTTTGAAGTGAAAACTTCAAATTCCTAACAACATATGAACAATGTGTAATCTTACTAGAACTCAAAGACAGAACGTTTCAACAGTGAGGTATTGATTGTTCATAATGAACTTGACGGGGAGGCAAACATTGACAACCAAAGCTGGCAAGAAGACAGGCACAGGGACTCTGAGATATCTGTCCATAGCAGAGCCCTTCCCAGTAATGTGACTAATTACCTACCTTGAGAAAATAAACCTAGATGCAAAAAACATTGTACACATAATGATGTACATCAAAATATTACTTTTAACACCAAAGTTCTGGAAACAATCTAAGTGCTCACTATAAATAGTGCCACAATCCAAATGGAAAAGAACAAGTTTTCAAACCCACTTCCTCACTTTATTGTGTGAAGAAAGGACTGGTCTAGAGGACAGCCTCAGACTACTTCGTCCTGCCTGCCCCAGCCTACAGAAAGGAGGAAGAAAAGGAGGACTACATTGATACAATGAATTGTGTAGTGAAAATAGCAAGTTAACAAAACACTTAACAATTACACAACGACAGTGCTCTTTGAATCCAAGATTCAACCTTAAAGAGACAAAGTTAAATCTATATTCCCAAATACTCAAGTTTAATTAATATTTAACTTATATGTAACACTAGATCTGATAAAATTTTGCTAACATTAAGTCTTCCAGATCCAAAAGATACACTGCAAGGCTGTAGACAACAGAGAAAACAAGACCTGCCCACCACCCCAGAATACCATACCCGGGGGTCTGCTGGGTTGAAGGCCACTGCGGTGATGGTGTCCGTGTGTCCTGCCAGCTGGCAGCAGAAAGCACTGGAGCCCAGCTCATACAGGTAGGCCTAGAAGACGAGACCGGAAGTGATTCTGGGTTGACTTGAGCCGTAATGAGCTCCTAATCACAAGAGAAGTGTTGTCTGCAGCTGAGCATTTGCCCTGGGGGCCACCAGGCCACCTGATACAGTGCCAGTCATGTCCACAATCCTCTCTGCCATGCAGGCATACAAACCTTACCCTAAAGGCTCAAATTGAAGGGAAAAACTATAGTGTCTTTCCCATGAAATTGAGAGAGAATGGTTACACTATGCTTTGTTTCCAACGAGTCAGCTTAGAATTTCAGCGATTCAAACAGACTTCTATAACTACTGATTCAAAAATTCCTTCCGGATGAAGTTACTATATATTATACATGCCTATACAAGTCAGATAGTGCATACCCAGAGTTGCCACCAAATACTTCATTTTAGGTGAAAAAAACTCTTAACAGGTTCCATACTGACAGGTTATGACAGTCGATAGTTAACCAGCGAACTGTACCATGTGCATGTTATGAAAGACCACTGCTAATAAGGAGAAATGTCATGGTGCTATAAGAGGACCTCAGAGGTGAGTGCTGCTCCCACAAAATCCACTTTAATGTAAGGAAAGGTCCTTCAAATCTAAATATTCTCAATGATTTTGTCAGTGGCTAAACAGTGGTTTTGAAGTATAGACTACAAACAGACTGCTTTGGAACCCCACAGCAGCACATTCCATGGTACTGAGCCTTTGCCCCACAGAGCAACACATTCTCCCTTTCCTGTGCTTTGTCACTTGTCACCCTGTTGTTCCGTGTGCTCTTGTATGTGTGCCAAACTCCTTGAGTCTCCTTGTTAAGGTGGTAAAATCCCTTTGGAAACCTATTTGCAAATTTCCAGGCAAGTTCAACTTACAGAGCTTATGACCACCAATCCTGCTCCTAAGGATTTCACAAAAGAAATGACATGTGTGTCCACACAAAGACATGCAAAAAAACCCATGATTTTATTCATACAAGTGAAATATACAACCTCTTCATGCTCTATGTGAAATTATATGACTATAAAAATTATAGCTAAATAAAGTGAGAAAAACACAGACATCGAAAGCACACACAGCACATCCTGTGAACCCCAGGCTGCTGACAGCAAAGACACAACTTCCTGACCCTCTGATGTCCCCAGTGCAGCAAGAGGGCCAAAATCTGGAGCCTGGGGAGGCAGTGGTGCACATATGAGGCAGAGTCCTGGGGAGATGGTTTCCTCTTCCCATATGCTCGTGTTTGGGATGACAGGTCTGCAGCAATGACCTCTAGGAAAGGGCTATGATTAGAGGGAATTAGACATCCCTTTCACTTGGGACTTAGGGAACAGTTGAAACCAGAAAATGGTGGAATTTTCAACAAAAGCTGAGCAAGAGGAGTTAAAACAGTCAAAGAAGTGAACAAAGGTACAAAGAGAACCATACCTCAGAGGAGCCAGGAGAAGGAGACCTCCATCAAGACTAGGCTCTGGCCAGGGCAGTAGGGAGATCAACACCAGAGACTGAGGAGGATTTCTGATCTGTGAGAGTCACCCAAGTGCAAAGTACATGTGGTACAAGTCGACAACTTATGTGTTCCTGTTAGACTCAAAGGACCTGGCTTGTAGTCTCACAGAAAAAAACTGAGAAGGAAGGATCAAGAGTCTGAACTCCAGCAAGGCCTGGTCTGGTTCAGGAGGCTGGACAGAGGCCAGATGTACCATCAGCCAAGGACAGAGAGCAGCTCTTGCTGCAATGCCCAAAAGGACAGTGAGGGGTAGGCAGGCAGGTGTGGGGCTGAGAGGCAGTAAGAGAGAAAAGCTCTATGAATTAGAAGGAAGATTTGGAGTTTGAGTTTTGTTGTTATTTTTAAACCACCTTCTATTATATAATTATCTTTTGTTGAAAAGCCCTTCTAGATTATTCATTATGCTTTTATCTAATTCTAAGTGGGAATCAATAATGGCCTTATTGCATGAAATCTCAAGATGTACATGATACCCTGATATTGTGAGGAAGGATCTACGAATGAGGTATCCAGTCCTTAAATGGACATGGGATTACATAAGGCATACCTTTTGACCCAGAAAGTTCTTGAGGTATATGAATTTGCAGTCACAGCAACTTTAAATGGTAAGATACTAAAACTACAGTTAGAGCCCCAAGGAAGTCATATACTGTAAGCAGAGAAAGAGAGAACCCGCAGCACAAAAATGGGCAATCTCTCCCCCACCACCCTCCCAAACACCAGAAAACACTGTGTTCCTGTAGCCTCATGCCCATCACCCTCTCTTCAGCATCAACAAGGGAGGCTCACCACCTTATGCAGAGAGAGGCCGAACACCATGAGGCCTTGCAGAACTTGCTGGTAGGGAGTACAGATCCCATCCTTGGAACATAGGAGGAGTAGGAAAGATTCAGCAAAGCTGGACCAGAGCAGGCACTTTCCTATAGTTTCTTCAAACACTAGAAAGATCTGTGACAGTGTGAAATCCTGCCCACTGCCCACTGCCCACTGTCCCATGCAGGCAGAGAAGGCCTTCTGCCAAGCCCAGAAGCTGCACCAAGTCCACCGTCAGAAAGCAGAGCTCTTGAGAGAGGAACCAGGGTTAGATAATATCTAAGGGCCAAAGAACAGAAAGCAGCATCTGGTCAGAGGGCACCTGGTAATGTACAGAGGGCAGAAGGAGAGAGAGACTATGGAGACAACTGTAGGATTTGCCCTGCAGGGAAGGGAGAAGGAGTAGGAGGCCTGTGGCAGAAGCTGACAGAGAACCAGGTGTGGGGCAAACTACACCCCATCTTCCTCCTCCCAAAATAAGTGAGGTGGTCAGATCTTAAAACAGAGACAAAAGTCTGCAGCTGCCCATGTCTGAAGCATGGCTTGAAGCCAGGAGGCTGGTCCAGAGAGATCAACAGCCCTCACTGCTCCTCAGCAGGCAATTAAGCAAGTTACAAGGGGAAACCAGCGTGACTACCTGCACTCATACTGTGACTACACCATAGAAGGAGGTGTGCAGACCCCTGACTCTGTGGTATAGCAACTGTGTGATGGTTTTTTGTTTGTGTCCTTGCCGGTTTATCTGCTCTGGGTTTTCTGTTTGTATTTCTTCTTCAGAGCTTGTATCTTTATTACTATATTTTTTTAATTTTTAAATGTTTTTCCTTTTAATCTTTTCTTTTCTAACTTCATCTGTCTTCTCTTTTTAAACTTTATTTCTTTCCTCTTTTTCTTCATTGTTCCTCATTTCCCTATCTCCATTTTCCCTCTCTTCTCTACCTTTCATATGATACATGATTTCATATGATTCATATATATATATATATGGCAGGTGCCTTTATATATACAAAAGACAATAAGAATTGATGAGTGCATTAATTTGAATGGTAACATTCATGGTCATCTCAGAGTAACCTATAATAGAATTGTGTTCAGAGAATCCAAATAAAACAAACAGCAAATATATAGGTTCGAACAACCTCACAGCTTCCATCAATCTCTAATTGCACTTTCCCCACCCTGCATCCCTCCTCCTGTCTCTACAAATATTCTCTCAAACTCCCTCAAAACTAGCCATTTACTCCAGCTAGAAAAGTAACTCCAGCAAAGGTAGGCTTCCTATTTTGTACCTAGGGACTTTTCTCTTATCTTCCTCTCATTGTACTCTGACTTATCCCCTTCCTTTTCCTCTTTCCTTCCAACTCCCTCCATATCCCAAACTAACCACAAACAGCAACAGAGTATAATCTGTAAGGGGCACTGACAATAGGGTGAAATTGTCAAAACAAGTTTTAATGTTCAAGACTGATGTATACTTGGATCTGTGAATGCTGTTATAACCAGTAGGAATTCTCTCCTTACAACACAGTGACCCAACTGAACTGAAGAGGATGAGAAAGTAGACAATATTTCTTGACAAATAAAGCCAAGATGACATTACTGGAAAACAGAAGCTAAATAAAGAGATATTCCAACAATAAAGTCTCTTCACTGTATTTGACCTCAACCCTCAGTGCACACACATAAATAAAAGAAAATAGGAACATGAAAAAACAAGGCAGCAAAATGCGTTCAAAGGCACTCAACTCCTCCAAAGCAGATCAAAAAGGCACCAATGAAGAGGAAATAAAACACTAAACAGGTGAATTGCACAAAATTATCAAAGAGGAAGCAAAGAAACACAGCAAGCTCATAGATGATATAAACAAATGGATAGTAGAATTAACAAATAGACTAATGTGTTTAAAGATGAGTCAAATAAAAAATTAGAAGAGCTAACCAAAACCATTCAAAACATAAATGACAAATTTAACAAGGAAATACAGTCCATAAAAGGTGCCAAACATAAATTCTACAGACAAAGAATTCTGTTGCATTGTGACCAATGTGAAGACAGTGTCAGATTTTGAGGACAGATTGGAAGCACAGGACCATAAATTCAGAGATAGATTAAAAACAATGTGATGATGCTATGAAAGACTGATCTATGACTAACTGGATAGAAGGCAGCATATATGGATAAAAAAAATCTGTTTACAGAAATCATAGCTAAAAACTTTCCAAGTATAGGGAAAGCACTCAACATACAGGTAAGCAAAGCACATAAAACTCCAAATAATTATGATGAGAGAAGCAGCTCCCCATGACACATTTGTTATAACTTGTATCTAGATGCTCCCCCAATGCCTCTTGCATTCATAGATAGGGCTTTTTGGAGGTGGTTGGATCTAGGATGTGTGAACTTGGATTAAGGGTGTGTGATCACTAAATTCGTTCACTGGTTAGCATAGTTCTGAGTATGGATAATGGGAAGGCAAACCCTGGGTGTGGATGGCACCACTCAAAAGGCTTGTAGTCTAGATGGGATAAAGAAAAAGGGAGATTTTCTTGGTTCCTCTTGCCTGCTCTGCCATGAAGTATTTCTCCTCTGCAATACCCCTCAGCAATGCCATCCCACCTTGGAGCCAACTGACAATAAACTAAAACCTCTCATATTGTGAGTCAAAACCTTTCCTCCTTTAA